AAGTAGTAGGGGCATTAGCTAGGCTAAATAGCATAACGAGATACTCGAATAGTCTATAACAAGTCTTAAAAGCCGTCTTCTATTTATCTCCTTTGCGAATACGAAGACGATAATAGGTATCTTTAAGGTCTAATTTAGAGAAGATCTTAGCCTTACTAAGCCGATCGAGAAGCTTACTAATAAGTAGCAACGGATAGCGATCCTTAATAGTAATCTTATTAAGGCTACGATAGTCGATATATAGACGAACACTACTATCCTTCTTTAGGACAAAGAGGATAGGTGCACCGTATAGGGACTTGCTAGGCCGGATCTAGCCTTTAGCTAGAGCCTAATCGATGTATTCGCAGAGTGTCTTCAATTCGTCCTACGAGAGGTTATAAATAGGAAGTTATAGAGGAATTTTACCTACTTCTAGCTCGATAGTATAGTCGTACTAAGAATACTAAGGAATAATGCTAGCAAGGTCGGTATTAAAGATATTAACGTATTCTTTAAATGCTTCGGGTACTTCTTAATAAACTTCGGTAGCAACGATAATAGTATACTAGTAGATAGAGCTAGGAAGCGAAGTTAATTTAGGGTAAGGGTCGCAAAGGGTTTTAAACCTAGAGTAAGTAATAAGTGCCCCGATCTACTAACGATCTTGCTAACTATAATCGATAGTAGTAGGATCGCGGTTACCTCCTCCTTAGGTAGAGAGGGTTGTAAGAGCTTCTACTACTAGGGTATAGAGGTAGTCTAGAGGTACCTCCGAGGCACTAGCGACGTTAGGATCGTTACCTAGTAGTTCTTCGTTAGTAGTTTCGGGTCTAATAATATACCGGCTATCTTTAAGCTAGAAGGTAGCCGATCTGTTAACGATTGCTATAAGAATGCGACGGATAGGGTTATTCGTAAGGACCTCGTAGGCGTCTTCGAGGGGCTTATTAGGCGCCTTAAAGTAGTCCTCTAGGTCTCCGGTAATCGGGTTCTAGATAAAGGTTCCCTTTCGGAAAGAGATAAGAGGATTAGTATCGGCGAGCTAGTCCTATCCTAAAACTATATTGTATCCGGTAAAGGTCCTAGCCTAAAAGGTTTAAGGGATAGTACGCTCGGTACCTGTCTTATCCCTTACTATCGGGGAGAGGGAGTAAGCCTTGTAGATCGTTATACGATTGTTATCGAGGAAAGTAACTTTCGGAGGGACCAGATCTAGCGGCACTAGGTCTAGGACTTTCGCTATATGCTAAGAGATAAGGTTAATTTAGGTACTACAATCGATTAGTGCCTTAAGGGTGCGCGTAAGGCCCTTGTAAGGCACCTTAACGTCGACGATAATACGTCGTTCTCTTTCTCTAGTATTAGGCCCTAGTCGTAGTAAGGAAAGGGAAGCGACTAGGGCTTCGTATTTTCCGAACCGGTAGAGGCTTAGCTATCTCCGGCGGAGGAATTAGAGGTTAGGTTTACTAATCCGCCCTAGGCTTAGCCTCGGCTACGGTTTCTAAACTAACCCCGACCGCTACCTCTACCCCTAGGGCCCCTTAGAGGTGCCTATAAGGTACTAGGAGGGGTATCGGTTCTAGAACTAGATACTTGCTTAGAAGACCCGCCGGAATTACGAGCACTCTTAGCGGCATCTTTCTTCTTTATAGACTCCGAGTCTTCGATGCAGTATACTTCGTTAAAGAGATTATTAACGGTCTAAAACGAAATCAGCTTATTAATGCGGATAATCTCCGCTTAGATATCCTTTAGAAGCTTAGTGTAATAGAAGTCGATACGTATAGTTTTATACGATCTATCTTTAGGAAAACTATACTCGATTTAGCTTTCGACCTTCTTTATATAGGCGTAGAACTTTATTACTAGTTAATTAGCGTAGCATATAGCACCCTAGTAGGATATAGCATTCTCGGCTCGCTATATAGCCGGAGGCCTAATAGTGTCTTTAATAAGTTCTTTATACTCGGACTATCTAAACTTAGTATAGTTATCTATATACGATTAGATACGCCGTTTAACGGTAGTAGTAATCTCTACTAGTTTAACCCTACTAGTCGCCTATAGAGTGCGTCTAGTACCGTCTCGATCGGTGCAATTTATATAGAAGAAGCGGGCCTCGTATACTTAGGCCTACTTAAGAAAAGCTTAGTTGTTTATAGTAAGAAGCTCGGGAGGATCTTTCTTAAAGAGCTTAATTAAGGGGTCTCTTAGAGGCCCTAGAGGTACCTGCGAGGCGCCGGCGGGATTTGCGATCTCGTCGACGGTCTCTACTCTCTTCCTTTTAATAGTAATCTTACTCTTAAAGGAGGTAAGGAGATCTATAAGGGTTTTACGCTTCTAAACGTAAGTGTCGAAGGCTTAGCCTTCTAATTCCTCTAGTAGCGAGGCATCGAGGGTATTAATAAGTCGAGAAACTCGATTAATGTTATTCTTTGCCGTCTACTAGATATTAGCCTAAGGGTTTAGGTCCTAATCCTCTTCCTTAGGACCGGATTCCGCACGGCTACTTATACGGGAGCTGCGAGGTCCCTTTAAGGTACTTATAGTATCGTCCGGAGTAGTATCGTTATCTTCTTCGTTATTGTCCTAAAGTTAGTCTCTAGGTCCGGTAGGGAATACTTGTTCTTCTACTAGAGGGTTAATATTAGGACCTTTCCCTTTAGATAACGATATACCGGTTCCGCCGGCGGCCCTACCGCTTCCTTTAGGAGGTATAGTACTAATAAGTAGGTAGTACTATATTAGAAGTAGGTACGCTAGTTAGAGGTGCTTTCGGGTAGCTTAGGGGCACTTCGAAGGGGCCTAGTAGGTGCCGACGACGTAGGTACTACTACTTAGAGGTCGTGCTTAGTACAGCTATACTCCTAAGGAGGATTTAGAGGCGATATTCTATAAGGAAGTAGTATATAGGGAGTATTAACACAAGTAAACAGTAGTCTTAGCATTTAACGATATCGCCTAAGGAACGAGCGATTCTCGAGGTAGGAATAGGCGCCTTATTCTATAGTACTAAGAGTTAGGTAACTCGGGGTTACCGGCGAGGTACCTCTAGGGTACCTTATAGGTGCCTAGTAAGGGTCTCGGCGGTATAGAAGGGTATTCCCTTATAATATCGGCTAGGCGTAAGTAACCCTACTAATAGCCTATCGAGGCGACCTAATTATAATAGCGAGACTTAGTATATTAATTTATTGTTTCTAACCCTATAGTATAAGATTACTATAGACTTTGCTATAAAGCAAGCGTAGGATAAGCGGACTTCCGGACCCCGCGGCGGCAACAAATACTATAGCGGAGTTGTCGTTCTTCTAGTATACGTTAAAAGAAAGGACGTAGATCGGGTAGAGCTATAATAACTCGATTAAGGACATTGCTATCTATAGTAATAGTCTATATAGCGATAGTACTATAGAAGAGGTTGCAGTAGTTCCGGCTACTAGTACTATTAGATATATATAATACGTACCTCGTTCGACAGCGAGGGTGCTATTAAATAACCTTACAAAGTAGTAGTGCCTAGCTTGGTATTTATCGAAGCTATAATGTCCTTTTCGAAAGCCGTCTCTAGATCTTGCTATTCTATACTCTTCTAATCAACTACCTTAACGAAGCTATAGACAAGCTTAAATACCCGAGAGAAAGTAGTGTTACTATCAAGGAGCTACATAGCGCTTACTAGTTTTCTAGACGGGTTGATCCGGGCGCCGATCGAGAGTCGGACGGGTTTTGCTTCCGTCGAGTTCGAAATCTTAATGTCCCTCTATAACGCCTCTGCTCTCTCCTATCCCTCGCTGCTAAAAGCTAATTCTAAGTCCTATATAAGACTGCTACCCTAAGCTTGGTTATAACACAAGTCTAGCGGAATTCCGGGAACGTCGTCTCTAAAAGGAACGTCGAGAGAGTCGTCCGGGATCAATATAGCTAGCAAGGACTAAAACCAAGCGCGCCGCCCTTCCCCTTACTCTAGGCGGCGGCAGAAATAAAGCAGAGGTGTGTAGTCGCTAGACTAGGTTAAGAAGGAGCTCTCGTCTCGCGGTCTAAGATACATCTAGCTCTTAAGCTTAGTAGAGCCCTAAATCGTAGCTTGAAAAGTCTTACTAATCCTCTAAAGTAGGAAGAGCGCCATGCCGCGGTAATAGCTATCCTATCTGTTCTATACGGCCCTTAGTCCTAGATAGAATTCCCTCGTCAAACCTAAAAGTATCTCCTCTAATAACTCTAGAATTGCGAACACTCGACTAGCCGCTAATTACCGCGCGGGCATCGAAGTCGTAGAAAGCGGAGTAGAATAAGGAGTTGCTATCCTCTCCCTATAAGGGAAGTTAGCGTATTACTCTAATTTAAGGAACACTTAGACTTACCTTAATTGCTACGCCCGACAAAGAGTCTAGATGTTTGATATAGACTGTAGAAGGGAAGAAAGTCCTAGCGCTCTAGCGAGATTGCGTAATACTGTGCTCCTCGTCTTAGCAACGGTTAACGTTAGGGTTAATTGAAAGCTGAAGTCTGTAACGCGGGTTCTAGACGGCCTAGCAACCTCATCGAAGCTACCCGGTGCTTCGCGAAGAATTACTCCTATAGCTCTAATAGATATCTCCTCGAGTAGCTTAGTTTCCTCCGTTTCTAGGAGTCGAGCCGCGTGCTATAACAAGATGTAATCTCTCGCTTGCTCGCTTGGTTCGAATTTTGGTACCTAGCTTAGACTTCGATCAACTTTGCGCTTACTACTCCCTCTCTTACGGCACGGTGATCTAGGCTTTAAATTGAGGGAGTAGTGGTCCTATTTCAGAAGGCTCTAGACCCGATTGCATTAACTTCTGCTTGCGATTAATCAGATATAAAGCAAGCAGCAGCCTGCTATAGAACAGAGCTCTAATTTATAATCAGTCAAGGCGTCTTCGCTTGCTACATATGTCTCACTTACAGTACTATTACGGCTGTCGCCTAGTTCCAATCCTCCTAGCAAATAAGGCTCCAAATCTACAGAGGTAGAATTCTTCTATTGCCTTCTCGCAATGCAAGGATATGCGCAAATGTAACATACATACACTGTACAGCTACGTTTATAGGTAAATCTCGGCATTAAGCTTTGAGATATAGTGCGCCGCGATCGTTGAAATTTCGAGAATTAGTAGCAAAACGGGAAGGATCACCTAATAGAAGATTCCGAAGCTGCGCGTTTACTAAGTCAGTTAATAGTAAAGATGAAACCTGCGTCCGAATTTACATACCTTGTCAAGTATTGTTTAAACGCCGATAAAATCAGCTATGTAAACAATCTAAGTGCGAAACGGCTAAGGAAGATCAAGGTGAAAAGAACCTAGAAGATAATTAAGAGTTTTAGGGGATATAAAATCTAAGCAGCATTGTAAGGTAGCATTTGCCTACCTCCATTCAGGCGCCCCGCTTTGTAGGCTTGTAGGGACCTTCTACTACCTAAATATAGTACCTTCTACCTTCTATACCTATATACCTTCTACCTTCTACCCTCTGTATGTTCTTGCATTATCTCTCCGCTAAGTATACTAGGATATATCTAGTTTAGCGGTCTATGCTAAGCCTATAGCGAAGCGCCTAAGACTAACCCGTTCGGCCCTTATATAACCTGCCGTATTAGAATTGAACAATCGCATATAGTGCACTAGTTCTACGCTAGATATCGACTAACCTAGAAAAAGGGTCCTACGTAATAATACGATCTATTAAATTGTCTATATAAAGTATATACTAAAATGCGAAATACGTGCTTAATTCTTAGTATACTAAGACAACCTTGCGTACGCTCTGTTTGTTCTACCCTACCTTATACTACATATATACAAACGAAGCATCTAACAAGCTATAAAGGGCACGCGGAGCCTAAGAAACACTACCGCTATAATCTCCCGTATTTAGAATGTCTATATTGTTAATGCGTTACCTCCGTTTTACTACCTAGGGCTAATAGCCTTTATAGCCCTCTCCGTTTGCTTTTTACCCTTCCTATATACCAATTCACTTAGTATACGCGCGTTTGTCTCGTAAAAGCCGGGAGTCGGTCCGCTAGCCGTTTCTAGGTTAATCTATAGTATTTGAAAGTCGACCTTACTACCGCCGGCGTAGCAAACTTCGTTACTAAACATTAACTTCTAAAGTGCGCGCTAACGTTAAGGACTCGCGCTTTCGACACTCGACACTATTCGTATAGCCGTTTAGTTATTGCTGCTACTGCTACTACTACTGCTTCTAGTGTATTGCACTTCTATAACCTTGCCGCTGCCGCCGCCTCTTCGCTATCTCTAATCTCTAATCTCGCCGCGCCGCTATACTCGACTCGATCTAGCCTAGTATGCCGCTTAAGAAGCTTAGTAGGAAGCAGCAGAATGCCGTAAATACGTAAAAGAAGCGAGACAAGAACTAGAAGCGTACTACTCGACGCGTTCGTACTAATAGCTAATAATAGCAATATCCGACCGAGTTACTAGGTCGCGCTATAGTAAGTCGCGAGCGCCTAGATTTTAGCTATCTGCTAGAGATCTAGTAGCTAGCGAACAAGTCCGAATACAAAGCATTTTTCTAGGATAGATGCCGCTAGATTAATAATACTAATAATCCGCTTAGCCTCGAAGAGATCCGCCGACTAGTATACGATGCGGCAGCCTGTTTAGAAGTAGTAGAAGTATACCGCGATATCTGCTCGGAAGGTCTGCGTAAGATTCTTAGGCTACTTTATCTAGGGAAGGAATACACTCCGAGGCCTGTCTAGATTAATAGAGTCTACGCTATTGTGTTTAGCGGTAATAATCTGTTACAGATCTCGAAGATAGGCGAAGGCAAGACGCTAACATTCCTGTCCTTTACGTTGTTAATAGGTATGCTATTTAATGCTAGTTTAGTTGCTATTGCTATTAGTACTAACTTTCGCCTAGGTCTAATAACCCTCTAATTTATACCGCTAAATCGTCTCGGCGAGGAACAAGCCGATAGTATTACTAGCATCGCAAAGGAGCTAGAAGTCTTATTAAATGCTGTTAATATTACCTCCGAGACGAGAAGCGTCGATCTAAATCTATTTAAGCATATCCTCGACGGCAAATATTATTATATTATCCTAAGTCTAGAGACAGGTACTAGTCTAGAGTTTCGTAAGCTTCTACGAGATCTAAAGGTCCGCGTACGTATCGGTCTAGTCGTAATCGATAAGGTGCACTTAGTAAACAAGTAGCGCGACTTCCGTAAGGAGTATACCTAAATCTATACACTGCGCAAGCTCCTCCGAACCGACATAGTATAGCTTAGCTGCTCTGCTACTATGTCCGAAGAGACCGAAGAGTTTGTGCTTAAGTATAGCGGCTTCCGAGAAGTAGGCAATAGGCTATATTAGATAAAGATCCTCCGTAGCAGTGTCGACCGTCTAGATACTACGTATATACTACGTACTATTCCGAAGAACTAGCTTAGCTTATACGACTATCTATACTTTACTATTAAGGGTGCTTTCGATTCTAATACTAAGGAGGCAATACCCGAGAAGATTAAAAAGGCGCTATTGTTTATCGATAGTCGGAAGTATATCTAGGACCTAGCTAATGTTATCCGCTACTAGCTTACTACTACTACCGCTAATTGCTAAGATCCGAAGAAGCGATATACCTAGGATAACAAGGGTATTAACGTTTATACTACTATTACGTTTTATACTAGCAGTGTCGCTAAGCGTAACTAGAAGCGTCGATATAACTAGTACTATAAGACAGCCGACTATCTAGAAGAATCTTCGAAGCATCGTATTATAATCGCTACTATAGCATTTAGCGTCGGCTTAAATGTTCTAGATATCGAGATTGTCGCGTAGGTTAAGTTCCCTATTATACGCGATATCGAGGATGTAATATAGCGTCTTAGTCGTATCGGCCGTGCGATCGTTAGTAGTCTAGCCTTTATCTTCCTCCCGTACTACATCGACGATAGTATAAAGAATATCCGCCTAGGAACTAACTATACCGCGATTAACGTTACTCGCTATGCTCGTCGTAACTCGTATACGCTATTTCGCCTATCTAGACTCCGCTAATCTAAGCTACCGGGCGAGGATACTAATATAGCCGGTACGCAAGAAGTCGGTAATCTGTTTAATAGTAACGATAAGGAAGAGGATCCTATATACTAGACTAAATCGGAAATCGCTATACGAGAGAAGATCCCTCGTATCTAGTTCGAGGTCTAGAACGATTACTACCGAGAGCAGTATAGTATATGTCCTCGTAAAGTCGTCCTCCGGTATCTAGGTAAGGGCAAGGCACTATATACCTAAGACCCGCCTAATAAAGAGGCCTACTATAATATCTGCAACCCGGAACTTAACCTCGTATATATCGATCTATCTCTAGAAGCCGCGATACCTCCGAAGTTTAAAGCACTAAAGTCTAATACCCGACTAGGCATTGCGTTTAAGATGCTGCAGGCGTAGACCTCTACTAAAGTCGTTAACGACCGGTATCTAGGCTAGGAAGATAGAACTATATTCGACTTCCCTTCGTCTCGTATTATTAATAATCGTATACTATACAGCATTACTAATGTCTTTACCGCGACTAACTTAGCAGACAATTAGAATACCGCATAGGGTATTAACGTTAATAAAGACCTTATCGAGAAGAAGGCATCCGAGTTTAAGGAGTAGTACGATTCTATCGATAACGGATAGCGGCCTTTTAGATTATATAAGTTACTAAATAAACTTAAGCGTATTAGTCCGGAGGTCTTTAAGTAGTAGCGCGAGGATATCGATATAAAGAAGAAGCGTATAGAGGACCGAAAGAAAGCTATAGAGACCGCCGCCGCAATAGCAGAAGCAGAAGCCTAAGCTACCCGAGATGCTTTGTTATAAGGCACCGCTACCGCGAGCAGATCTGTATTGCCGATAGCGCTACCGCTTACTAATGTCTAGCGACAAGCGCAACTCAATGCCCTAAGGAATAGTCTTACTTAGTGCGGTCGTATATAGGCCGATCGTCTCCTTAGTTATAATAGCTAGGCGGTAGACGTACGTCCTATAGCTAGTTAAGGTTAAGGTTAAGGTTAAGGTGCTCGTAGTAGCCGTAGAGATAGACAATCTACTATAGGTTCTTCTAGTAGCGCTAGAGGTAGCGCTAGAGGTAACGCTAACACGGTTATATAGGATGCTAGCTATCGCGATAAGCGTAGTCCTTCTAGCACTCTAGGAGGTCGACGTAGTATACCTCGTATTAATCCCTAGATTAAGGCTAACTATTAGCGATCTAAGCAGTTGCTAAGCACTATATCTCGTACTATAGAAGAGACTAGGGGCAGGGTACTCCGGCGTAAGCGTAGGCTATTAGAGGCTAGTCGGCGTATAATAGGTAGCTCTCTAGGTAGGCGTTAATCGTTAATCGGATATAGGAGAAAGGAAGGGACTACTTAGAGATTAATAGCTCGCTATAGAAGGAAGAATACTCTAGAATTATAGACGTTTAGGTCGTATTTGCGCTACCGATCCTCTTCCTCGTAAATTATCTTAAGTATATAGCTAGTATAGCCTCTAGTGCTAGTATAGCCTCTAGTGCTAGTATAGCCTCTAGTGCTAGTATAGCCTCTAGTGCTAGTATAGCCTCTAGTGCTAGCATAGCCTCTAGTGCTAGTATAGCCTCTAGTGCTAGTATAGCCTCTAGTGCTAGCATAGCCTCTAGTACTAGCATAGCCTCTAGTACTAGCATAGCCTCTAGTGCTAGCATAGCCTCTAGTGCTAGCATAGCCTCCAGTGCTGCTATAGCCTCTAGTGCTGCTATAGCCTTAGGCACTCGCCTAGTAGTCGGCGGCTATTGCCTTAAGAGTGCGGTAATGTATAGCCGTTATTGTTAACTTGCTATTATAGCGTAAATAGCGCAATCTTATTAGTAGAGGCCGACCTTACCTGTAAGGCGTATATAGGCACCCGCTTTCCAACCTTAACTTCTTCTTCTTCTTCTTCTTCTTCGTCTTCTTCTATATATATATACTAACATACTAACACCCCTAGCAATATACTAGCTATCGGCGTATACAATAGTGTCGATACCTCTTTATCGTATATAGGTAGCTCTATAGCGATCAACACTATTCCTTACTAGTTCTACGGCTTACTACCGATAGAGCCGCTTATCTAATAGTTGAGGTTCCTCGATCGGTAGAGTTTGTTTAGTCCTTTCTCTTCGAGGTTTGGTTTCCGATAGGCTTTGCTAAGCAAGACGTTGCGAGGCGACTCTCCTAGCGAGTAGGTGTTTTCTATAGCTTTAGCGGGCGCCGACTGCGCATTTAACTAAAAGAGTATAGTTAAGGTTGTTGTTAGAATATCGCAGTCTTAGTGCAAACTATAGAGGTCTTAGATAGATTAGCGGAGGTAAAAACTCTTTAGTAAGGTATACCTATAATGCGGCTAACGGTCTAACTCGGTAAAAACTCTTTAGTAAGGTATACCTTAAGTAGCGGCTCGATAGCGACTCTCCTACTAAGTAGGTTAATAAGTTCGTAGGTTAATGGGTTCGTAGTATTGCTATAGGTCTAACTCGGTAAAAACTCTTTAGTAAGGTATACCTTAAGTAGCGGCTACAGGCTTCCTACGTTCGGATTCTTTATAGGATAATATACGCGTATCTAGTTAAGTCGGCGTAACGCCTTCGTTAGGATTGTTAGTTATAATAACCTTAGTCGTTACGTAAGGGCCTCTAGTGTACTCAAGCCCGAAGGCGCTTAGTCTTTACTACTACACGACTGCAGCCCTTTGCGTATTAAGACTACTATTCGACTGCAGTGCGCCTCCTCTTCTAGTAAGCGTATTAAGACTACTATTCGACTGTAGTACGCCCCCTCTTCTAGCAAGCGTATTAACATTGCTATACGACTGCAACGCGCTCGACAACCCTTTTCTGCGGTGTCTCTAATACTAAGGGCGCGGTTACACTCTATTATTGTCTAGGTACTAATAAGTGTCGCTTTAGCGAATAAGCTATTATTGTTTCGCTTAACAAGTCCCTTCCTACACACCTCGTACTATAGTTAGCGATAGAATGCGTTAATTGTTACGTATTGCGCGTAGTATATAGGCTATATGTAATTCTAGTATGCTTCGGAGTATATACTTCTATAGCCGCTTAGTACCGCTAGTTAATTAGATCCCCGGACGCTACTACTCGTTCTTCTCTGCCTCGTATAGTAACTAGTTATCGGAATAATCGTTCTAGGAGAGTCTAAGCAATAGAGGGCGTTAACGTAAGAGGGCTATCGTAGCTTCTCGAAGAGTGCTTACGCTCGATATATATTATCGCCCTACGTATCTATCCTTGCCGTACATATTATAGTGCTAATAGCTGCGGTGCAATGAGTATAGTGCTAGTATCGCTAGTGTTGGCGACTTCTCGGGTTTCGGAGGCGGTTCTTAGTGCCTAAGGCGGCCGTCGTTATCGTATTAGACACTTTTGTTAGCGCTATTTGCTAGAAATGCGCGCAATCGACGTATTTCGCTATATTGGTATTATAAAAGTCGTAAAGGTATTATAAAAGTCGTAAAGGTGTTATTAATATACGGAAGGAAGCAGCTATAACGTTTAATCCTACTAATCAAGCGCTCTACTATACTAAATCCGGGGTCTTAGCGGGACTCGGCATCCTTGTCGCTTCCTCGAATTTACGCTTCTCCGCTAGCTCTTAATATATACGATTTTCACGACTATTAACTATTAACTATCGACTATCGACTATCGACTATCGACTACCGGCAAGCGCGTTAATAGCTAAGGCTATATACTCGACTACGAGGGCACGAGCCTATAAGGATATAATAGAAGGGTAATAAAGAGCCTGCTTAGCGAGCCTATAAGGACACGATAGAAGACCCTACTTAGCGAGCTTATAAGGATATAATAGAAGGGTAGTTAGGAAGGACCTTAT